AGATATTAGAGTCCCCATTCGAACTGTTTTCCTAAGGAGGGATAACCAAATAGCCTGAAAAATGAGAAAATAAAAAATACCTGTATCTAATCAGCCAAAACTAATGAACTCTCCACACCAATATTGGCAGATGCAAAACCCCCTGCTTAAAACAGTATCTTCTATAAAATAATGAATGACACTGAATGCTGGGTGCTCCTGGAGCAGGGTGCGCAGGGCAAACTGGGAATTTCTCTTGTGTGCGTGGTAACTGGGGATTCCCCAACTGGGGAGGGAGCATGGCAATCCCCTGGGTGAGGCCATGGACTTCACTGTCTCCAGGCACAGAGAGGAGGCAGGCAGGCATTTCCAGACAAAGCTTTCTTCACTCACTCCCTACTTGCCTATGCTACCGCCCTGAGGCTGCCTGGCTACAGGGAAGGATGAGGCGTGGTCCTCCGCCCTCACATCTGGTAAGGAAGAAAACACCCGGGGCGCCTGGGTGGCTTAGTCGGTTAAGCGTCCGACTTTCTTTTGCTTTGGTCATGATCTTACGGCTCGTGAGTTCGAGCCCCGCGTCGGGCTCTGTGCTGACTGCCGGCTCAGAGCCTGGAGCCTGTTTCAGTCTGTGACTCCCTCTCTCTCTGACTCTCCCCTGCTCACGCTGTCTCTCTCTCTCCTAGAAATAAATAAAAATATTAAAAAAAAAAAAAAAGGAAGAAAACACCCAACCAATAGTTACAACATAATGTGGAAAATGTTACAACATGTGTTCTTGGCACACAGGAGGTGCTCCTAGAGCACCTGGCTAGCGAGCAGGGCTGACTCTAACTTTGCCCGGGTGGGGGCAGAGGAAAGGGCAGACTGCGCAATCTTCAAGGACAGGTGGAATTCTCTGGACAGGTAGGGGCAAGGGCAGAGGGAACAGCATGTGCAAAGGCAAGAAAGCAATATGGATTCAGGAAACCAAAGTAGCCCACTGAGGCTAGTGTGCAGAGGAATGGCGGCCACAGAGGAGGCTACTGAGCTATGAGAGGTCACATGATGGCCTGGATGCCTTCCCAAATTGACAGTAATGTGGGTGAAACTCAACAGAGAACTGGAGAGACAAGGTCAGCAGACAGAGAAGCCAACATCTAGAAACTGGGCAGCTGATGGACACATGGTTAAGTGACCAAACAGCCCAGAGGCAGTTGAAGCTGAAGCCCACAGCAAGGAAGAAGACCAGGAGTAAGCTGATTTGTGCTGCAGAAGCCAGAGACCCTTCTCAAAGTGGAGGTGAGGGTGGAGAAGGACAGAGGGACTGGGTGGAAGTCCTGAAAAAGAACAAAGTTCCACGTGTCTTCTCCCATCCACACAAACAGCAGCAGGTGCACATCTGTCTGATCCTCTGGAAAGGCCAAATGGAAGCTCGGGGTGGGGGACCGGACACAAACACAGCTCAGGGGCTTATGGTAAAAACCTAGCAACTCGATCTGAGAAACGAACCCACCTCAGTCACTAGGTAAGGCACGTGCAGAAGGAGAGGGCCAGGCATCACCCCGCAGAGAAGCCCATCAGTTAACAGCACCAGCACTCCTCACCCCGGTGTCCAGGTCACTGGCTAGTCTCTACCCCTTAAATATGAGGAGATGACCAATGACCACCAGACATGTGAGAAAAGCATCTAATATGAAAAAGAAGCCAAAACAAAGAGAGAAAGAACCTGAAGGAAAAAGACAGAGAAGAATATAAAGTGACACTTCAAAACCTTCAATTGATATCTTCATCTTTCATCCTCTGTGAGATATGAATATGATGCTATTTTTTAATTTCCTTTTAATGTTTTAGTTTATTTTTGAGAGAGAGACAGAGTGTGAGCAGGGGAGCAGAAGGGAGAGGGGGACACACAGAATCCGAAGCAGGCTCCAGGCTCTGTGCTGTCAGCACAGCCTGATGCAGGGCCGAACCCATGAACTGTGAGGTAATGACCTGAGCTCAAGTCGGATGCTTAACTGATGGAGTCACCCAGGCGCCCCAATGCTATTTTTTTTAAAAAAAAAACAATCAGAAAACAAAAAAGAGCTCTTAAAAATTAAAAATAGCATTAACTTTTTTTTTTTAATTTTTTAATGTTTTATTTATTTCTAGGAGAGAGAGAGAGAGACAGCGTGAGCAGGGGAGGGTCAGAGAGAAAGGGAGTCACAGACTGAAACAGGCTCCAGGCTCTGAGCTGGCAGTCAGCACAGAGCCCGACGCGGGGCTCGAACCCACGAACCGCGAGATCATGACCTAAGCGAAAGTTGGACGCTTAACCAACTAAGCCACCCAGGCGCCCCAGCATTAACTTTTTAAAAGTCAAAGGAAACTTGGAGGATACTGCCCAGAATATGGGATAAGCAGGCAAAGAAAAGAAACTGGGAGAGAAAAGATATTAAAATGAGATCATCAATTTAGAAGGACAGAAAGAGAAAAGACAAAAGAGCTGAAGGAACGAGTTGCAAAGGGACTGCTACGTCCCAGCTAAATAACGGGGAAGACTTATAAAGCAACTGTCTTAAAATTTCCCAGAAGACATGTTCCACCAAAACAGGGTTCCACCAAACCACAAAATACAAGTGCGTGATCCCGAAAATAGGGGCTCCCGTACCAGGGGGAGGCGAGGGAAGCAACACCCTTGGGTACCTGCCAGCTGTGATGCTGGCACAGGGGGCCAAGGGCCATGGGAGAAACCGCGCCAGAAAGCCACCTCCTAAGTGGTGGAACACATTCCGAGGAGGTTTCTACTATTTTGGAGAGTGTAGGGATTAATCTGTGGTTGGTACCCAGAAAACTAAGCAGTAAGTAAGGCAACTTTACTAACTGTGGGCAAAGGCCAGGGTGCACGAGGCAGCCACTCAACCGTGGCTGTGTGTGCCAGCTGTCTGTGGATCGCGTGTTCACCACAGAACACTGGCCACCAACTGTGGAGACGGGAGCACGCCGGAAACGTATGGAAAGGAGCGTTCCAAGACAGCCAGTTTCTCGTTTTCCAGGTAGGAAGTTCACAGAGAACACCTGAGGATGAAAAGTCAAGATTGGACAGAACTAGCCTTTAATTCAGAAATATGGAGAGAAACACAAAGGGTTAAAATTAGAGTTCTTGCCACAGAGAGTGGGAATCAGGGAGCAGCAGTCAGGAGTGGGAATCAGAGTCGGAAGTGGGAATCGGAGTGAGAGTCAGAAATTGGGAACTGGAGTGGGAATCGGGGAGGAGGGATAGCACAGGGAACTAAAAGGTGCCTGTGCTTTGTTTTTAAAAGTTTTCATTATAAGCCTATTAGTACTATTTGACTTTTAAAAACTACAGCTCTTTGGGGCGCCTGGGCAGCTCAGTCAGTTGAGCATCCGACTACTGATTTCTGCTCAGGTCATGATCCCAGGGTTGTGGGCCCAAGCCCCCCATCAGGCTCTGTGCTGACTGCGAGGAGCTTGCTTGGGATTCTCTCTCTCCTTCTGCCCTTCCCCTGCTTGTGCTCTTAAAAAAAAAAAGAAATAAAAACTACAGCTCTTTAATTTGACAAAAGCTAGTAAACATAAATAGAAAGTTAGAAAGGGACCAGATTGTATAGAGAGGAACCAGACTCATATGTTTGTCTTACAGATTTGTCCTCAAAAACAAAATATTAAGACACAATCCCAATTTCGTATTTAACACAGAAGCAGAGCTGCCCTGGCTTCTGGTCTGGGTGGTCCTGCCCCTTCCTCCGAGAAGCCCCCTTCCATCCCCTGCCCCAGGGAAGCTGCTCCACAGTGTGCAGGCACCGCTGCAGGCAAAGGGAGATCTTTAAATAACTTTGACAACTGGGAATCTGGGTGGCTAAGTTACTTTAGGGTCTGGCTTTGACTCAGGTCACTATCTCACGGTTCGTGGGTTCAAGTCCTGCATTGGGCTCTGTGCTTCAGATTCTGTGTCTCCCTCTCTCTGTGCACCTCCCCCGCTCACACTCTGTCTCAAAAATAAATAAACATTAAAAATAAACAAATAAATATCTTCAACAACTTGAGAAGCCACTCCTTCCCTCACTGCACAGGAACCAGGAGGGAGGCCGCCCTGTGCGGCAGAAGCAGCTGCTGATGAACAAAGGACCCAGCCAGGGAACAAAGCTGGAGAGGAGGAGCAATGGGAAGGATCTGCAAGTCACCAGATCAAGCAGCCCTGTTACAGAGCGCAAGGTGTGTGAGAGCTTAACCACTTGCACTTGGGCTGGTGTGACCATTACCATCTTGAGCATGTAAATACAAATAAATCATCCCTGATAGGGAAATATTTAAGAAGCAGAATCACCAGGCCATGGGGACTAAGTGGAAGGTGAAGACAAGGAAGAGGCGCAAGTCAAGTGCGAGTGGCCAGCAACGGGGAAGGGGCAGGGAGGAAGGCTGCCGAGCTCTGCAGGGCCCACACGGGCTGAGCGGGGTCCAGGCAGCCAGTGCTCAGCGGGAGGGACAGGGGGAAGGGATGGCGCACAGAGAAGGCAGCTTGGGGAGCCTGCGTGCTCAGGTCGGAGCTGACAGGCCGTGGTAGTGGGAGAAATCAGCCCAACGAGGAGAGAAAGGGGGAAGGGCCCCAACTTGGAGCTCTAGACAAGGGAACAGGTGAGAACGAGGAATGAGGCAGGAGGGCCTCCCGGAGCAGGGCGTCAGGGGCAGCACTGGAAGAGAACGACGACGCTGGGGCAGGGACCGGATGTAACAACTGCGGCCCTGCTGCCGGCGGGGGGGAGAGCGTGTCTGCAAAGCAGGAGGCCTGGATGTGCAGACTCGGGTCACAGACGCCTCTGCCTCAGTCAGAGTTGGAGGGGACGGTGCGGGTCGGGGTGGGCAAAGTGAAGCCCCCGGCTGCTTGGAGTATAGGCTTCACATGAGGCAAGAACTCCGTGGCTCTGGGGGCCTGGGGGAGCCACATCTCTGTCAGAGTAGAAAGCAGGAGCAGCTGGAAAGAAAGGCCAACAGGCGAGGACGGAGATGCCTGAAAAGGACTGCTGGGTCAGAGAGGAAGCTGCAAGGCCCGGAGGAACCACATGGCATCTGCATGGCATCCTTGCGCAGAGGCCGTGCTAACCTGCTCTGGATCATTCCGACTTTAGTACGTGTGCTGCTGAAGCGGGCACTAGATAAGCCACAAGGCATCTGATCTGAGGACTGTACTGTGCGTGACCATGGTACTGCTAACTTCCCTAATGTGTACACATTCTCCATGCCTGGGCTCCCCCTAAAGTAAATCTAAATGGTTCACGCACTCAAACTACAGGAGCTGCGGTAGAGAAGGGGGACCCGGGAAGAGAAAGACAAACCACCAGTCTAAGAAGTAGTTCTTGGCAGACCTCCTTGTGCCCACGGCAGAGGGGTTCTTGGGAGGTTTCTTCTTATGAGGTGCTCTCCCAAGAAGGGTGGGAACTAGGGCTTTCTTCCTGTCCTGGTTTAGATATGCCCTTTCACTCAGAGCAGTAACCACAAAACTCTTCCCCATCTAACCTAAATTCCTGAGATGAGAGTCTGAGGCTTTTTCCTTCCATCCCATCTTCCATGGACACAGATTCACTGGATGTTCTGTTCTCGGAGGGCCTAGTTCACGCCCACACACGCTGGGTCACGGGCTGGCATCTCCACCTCTCCTGATGGAACTGTACCTCCAGTTCTCAACAACTTTCTCTGGTTCAAAGGCTCTCAAAGTGAACTCACATTCACCTAAGACTCAAAGAATGCAGGATGGATATGTGTGAGTGTACACGTTTCAAAGCAGTTTCCTCTATCAAGAGGTACGGTACCCCTGCACCCCAGACAATGCACAGGGAACACCACACTCTTTTCCTGCACACTGTGGGGCTTGGTATTCCTAGTGATGGCAGAGGAGTCACTGCGGCATTATTCTTGACCAACGTGAGACCCACAGATATTTTTTCCCCATATTTATATTTATTCTCTGATATTGTCTATTTACATCATTTGTTTTTTTCTCTCAAGCCCTACAAATACGGTCTTATTTATAAATACATCTCAAGTTTGTCAAGCTGAATTTATATGTGTCTTTTCTGTGAATTTTCTATTCTTTAAATATATTTTTTTGAAGACTCATATTTCTTATGAGGCTATTAGAAACTGAATGTTTGTATCTTACTCAAAATTGATATGCTGAAGGCTTAATCCCTAATGTGACAGTATCTGAAGACAAAGCCAGATAATTAAGGTTAAATGAGGTCCTAGGGATAGGGCCCCAAACCAGGTGGACTGGTGTCCTTATACAAAGAGAAAGAGATATCAGGGATGAGCACACATAGGAAAGGTCATATGAGGTCACAGGAAGAGGGTGGCCACCTGCAAGCCAAGGAGGCTTCATGAGAAACCAAACCTACCGGTACCTGATCTTCAACTTCCATCCTCCTGAACTGTGTTGAAACTGTGCTTAAGCCCTCCAGCCAGCAGAACTGTTGTAGCAGCCTGAAGAGACTAAGCCAGTCTTCATCTAGTATATAAACTCCAGGTAGGATCATATTCCCTGCTTGCAATTTAATGGAAGACAAATTTTAGCCTAAAATTTAACATCACTTGGGAAAAAATTCGCTGTAAGTATAGATGAAATGAAGAACATGCTATTAAAAAATAGTCTTGTTTTACAAAGGTCCCATCAGACTCAGCACCTCCCACAGTGGGATGACATGATATTATGCACTTCTCAATGTGGCTCAGTGTGAATGATAGGGAATCACCTATTAACTATTCTTACCAAAACTGCTTAATCCAAATCTGATCTTAAACTAACTTCCAGCTGATAGATAATACAGAAACTACTAGAAATTAAATGATACTATGGGTAAACAATTTTACAAGTCCAGACTTGGAATATTCTACAAGGTAACCACACTAAACTTGCTAGAAAGGCAATGCCATTGAAAAAAGAAAAAAAGAAGAAACTTTTCTAGACTCAAGACATAATAAACAATTGCTGTACACAACTTAGATCTTGGTTCTATAAATGTAAACATAAATAACAAAAAAAGGGGAAAAAAGCCTACAAAACTCATTTTTGTAACAATTAGAGAGCTATGAAGATACCCGGGATACCAGCTAGGATCACTGCTAATTTCTTGAGGCTGATAATGTAGAATAATTAGATATGAACTTATTCTTGAAATATTTTTACCTGTAGAATGAACTTATTCTTGAAATATTTTGGGGTGGTGTGGCATAATGTCTATAACTTACATTCCAAAAAGTACTACAAAAAATGTGTGCATGTATGAAGAGAAAGAGAGGAGGAATGGGAGGCAGGCAGAGGAGGAGACCATGCACAAATATGCCAAAATAATTAGTTTCTGAATTAAGGCAAGTATATTCTTTCAATTTTCTGTAATTTTGCAATAAACGAACAACAGAAAGTTAGGAAAGATTATCTCAAAAGTCACCTCTAAACTGTCTAGATCAGATGTAAAGGGGGAGAGTTCATGAATGGAATCCTATGAGCTCCCAACATTCTACACAAAGTGATACACGTGCACATTTTTCCAGGAAAAGGGCTCCCAATTTCCATCTGATACTTAAAGTAGACTATAAACCCCAAAAGTGTATCTAGATCACTAGTCTAGACTGAGAAAAATACACAACAGGGGCACCTGAGTGGTTCAGTGAGTTAAGTGTCCAACTCTTGGTTTCAGCTCAGGTCATCATCTCACAACTCATGAGTTCGAGCCCCATATTGGGCTATGTGCAGACGGCATGGAGCCTGTTTGGGATTCATTCTCTCTCTCTCTCTCTCTCTCTTCTCCTCCTCCTCCTCTGCCCCCCCTTCTCCCTCTCCATCTGCCCCTCCCCTGCTCATGTTCTCTCTCTCAAAAATAAATATTTAGAAATATATATATATACATATATAAAAAAGAAAATACACAACAAATAGGAAAACAGCTAGACTCTTATCAAACTTACTTGTAAAATAGTACTGCTTATATTTTAAAAAGTTAGGAAGCAACCTAAATTCCTGTATGGTTAGAACTATCTCAAGGTGTGAGAAGGCGGCTTCATCCTGGACGGTGTTTTACTCTACGTGAAGTGCAGGAGGCTCTCTGGGAGAAGGAAGAGACACGGATATGGATGAGGCACAGCTTTAAACACCAACTCCCAATGTAAAAGCTCAGAGCCTTACATTACAGATTGTCTTCTTTCATTAATAATTTTCAAACCAAGCAAGAGATAAGAAAGAGTGAGAGACGTGGAGGAAGGAATTTTGTTTTTCCATGTCTCAGTTCAAACAAGACTGATGGAGTAACACCCCATAAATCTCTTCTCTACCTTCAATTCTTACAAGGACCCTCACTGCCTCAGTGGCCTGCAACCTTTCTAAGCGGCAGTAAGTGCAGCACTTTCCTGAGTGAAATCCTACCCATTAGCCCAAATATAGAACCAGTAAAAGCAGTCCTTTAGAGAGAGTTTGTGGACCAGCAGACCAATCATGGGCCAAAGCCACTCTCTGGTCCTGCAGACAGGTCTACAGAGCCAAGTCCAAGTGCCTCAGCCTGGCCTCAAAGCTGCAGCCCATGGAACGCCTGGGTGGCTCAGTTGGTTAAGTGTCCGACTTCAGCTCAGGTCTTGATCTTGTGGTTCATGAGTTCAAGCCCCGCATTGGGCTCTGTTGCTGACAGCTCAGAGCCTCAAGTCTGCTTAGGATTCTATGTCTCCCTCTCTCTTTGCACCTCCCCCCTCATGTTCTCTCTCTCTCTCTCTCAAAAATAAATAAACATTAAAAAAAAATTTAAAAACAGAAGCTGCAGCCCATCTGTACTCCGTCACGCCCACGACACCAGGTTGCCGGCTACACAGGTAACTTTGCCAGGACGCATTGCAGGATGTCTGTGGGTCTGCCTCCTCATCTGGCCTCCACCAGCTCAAAGGCAGGTGCCAAGTCTTACCCACCGTGTCCCCAGCATGCCCGGTCCTGTGACTGTCACACTCCGGCATGCTGTCTGTTAGGGATACTGGCAGGCATAGCTCATCAGAGGACTGTGACATGAGCCTCCCAGGTTCCAGCCCTCTAGGCAAGGGAAGAATGCAAAGCTAAGGCTTCCACTTACATATTTTTAAGTGCTTTCTTAAAGCACATCTATTGCCCCATTTGATCATTACAAAAGCCCTGGGAAACAGGCTGAAAATAACTCACACCCCCACCCCCTTAACAGAGGAGGAGAGGTACAGGGACAGGGTCTGTGCCAAGCCGCTGAACGGGCTGCAGCAGGCTTCTCCGGCAGACTGCAGGGGCGGCAAAACCTACAAAACCACAAGGGCACGATAATTCTAAGTGCTTCAGACAGACACACGCATATGCCACTGGGTAATTAGAAGCCTCCGGGAGAGGACCGTGGAAGAAATGTGGAGTTGAAATGATTTCTTTGTAGCTCCCATAATAGTCATTTTGAGAAGAACAAGAAAAAATATTAACCAATTTTACTTGGGAAAAAATGGAAGCAAGAAATGTTTAGTGATTAACAAAGAGCAATTCAGTTAAAAAAACAAAGAATGAAAAGAAGACTCAAAAATGAACGTTATAATTCCTTATTATACTAATGCCTGCTTTTATCAATATTAAACTAAAGTCCCTATGAAATGTCCTGACATTTTATGGATTTTGCTGTACTTAGAAAACATAAGCTTTGTATTTAAAAGGTTTTCCCGAGTCGTCAACCTTTTCACTTAGAAAATGAATTCTCAGAGGTTTCTCAGAGGTGCCTCCGTGGCTCAGTCAGTTAAGTGTCTGTTCTTGATTTTGGCTTGGGTCAGGATCTCACACTGGGCTCTGTGCTGACAGTGCGGTGTCTGCTTGGGATATTCTCTCTCTCTCTCTCTGCCCCTTTCCCACTAGTGTGAGTGCACATGCTCTCACTCTCAAAATAAATGTTAAAAAATGAATTACCAACATACAATTTTATTAGGTTATTCTATATTACTCTATCATGAAAGTAAATCAGATACATTAAAAAAATTTTTTTAATGTGTTTTAGAAAATGACCCCAGAGCTCATCACTATAAAACAACAAACTTCATGTGGCATTTTGTTTCCTTCCAGGTCTTTCAGCTATGTGGATGGGTTTCTTTTGGCTGTTTTATGACATGATAATCATACCACATACACCATTTCATAGCCTGATTTTTTTCCCTCAACATTATATCATAAGAACTCTTCCAGATTATTACACTGTCTTCAAAACCACAATCTATAATTTCCCGAACTTAAGTTTAAGTGGGGATACCACAGTTTACTTAATCAGTCTATTTTTAGACAAGCTGCCAAATTTTTACTATCACAAATAATGTTTTAATGACTGTAACTTTTATTTTCTTCCTTTTGTTTTTAGATAAATTCCTAAAGTATATTATCAGGTCAAAGTGGACAGTAAGTTTTAAAGACTTCTGACATATTCTGCCAAACTGCTTCCCCAAAGGTTTAAGAGACATTATTACGAGCAATGAATAAGAATACTTGGATTGAACTCTTATCATTAACCAGGAAATCATCTGTATCATTTTATTATTTTTTGCTAATAAGTAAAACTATTTCCTATGTTATTTTGCATTTTTCTCCTGAAAATGTATACTTTTCCACCATATGATTATTGACTAGTTGAGCTTCTTTTGTGAATCATTATGTCTATTATCTACTTACCAACTGGCTATGTAAGTAGATTTAAAAGTATATCTGTATGAATATTTTCCATAATCAAAATGTTAACTCAGTGTTTACCATACTGATGGGAAATATTTTTTTCTCCCATGTATGGTTCACTTAAAGTTTTAATTTTTACCTGGACATATTCATTGCTGTTTATCTTTGTGATTCTTTAAGAGGCTTCTGAGGCAGCTTCCCCTCCTTCACCCCTTCCCTATATGACTGTATGCAATTCATTTCCTCCCCAGCTCACATGGTTTTAACATTCATTACATACCCATAATCAAGAGGCTTTACCTGTTGGTCATCAGGAGTCCATATGCCACATGTGATTTGACTCTCCAAGTTGATCTCAGATGACCAGTGTCTTTGTCCGCTGACAGAACCAACCAGGACAAACCCATCTCGATACGAAATAAGTGCCTGAGTCCCATCATGGCTCCATGTGAAATCACTCACCTTTGAGACACACATAAAAAGGTGTCAATATGTAATATGAAAGGGAAAGCACTTTTATCACAGGTTATAGTCATGAACTTAGCCTTTGGCCAAGAGTTAGAAGGTCTTAAAGAGAACAATACATAAAACACATCACATGTATTGTAACACTAACATATAAAATCGTTAGAAAGGCAAGTGTCAGTGCAGAGCATGACATGTTAATTCTTTAAGTGTTGTTTGTGGGAGGGATTATCATGCGAATTTTACAGAGAAAACAGACACAGAGGGGATAAGTAACTTCTCATCACACACAAGGTGAATGGCAGGGTCAAGAATGACCCACGGTTTTATGGATCCAGTGTCCTTGCTTTTTGCCATTGTTCTATGGTCTCCCACCTAGGATAACAGATTCGCCATTAGAGTCTCTGGGTCACTTATCAAAATAGCAAATTCCTCAGTTTCGGATTATACACATTTCTCAGTCTTGCTAATAGTATTCTCTTAATCAAAATGAAAAATAACTTAGGGGTGCCTGGGTAGCTCAGTCGGTTGAGCGTCTGACTCTTGATTTTGGCTCAGGTCATGATCCCAGGGTCATGGGATTGAACCCCATATCAGGCTCCATGCTGAGCATGGATTGGCTTAAGATTCTCTCTCTTTCCCTCTGTCCCTTTCGTTTGCTCGTGCTCTCTAGAGACTAAAATGAAAAATAATGATAATTTAACTGGAAAAATTATGCATACTTGGGTGTTATTTTATCAAATGTGTTCATTGTATTTATTCAAATAACCACATTTAAAAAATCTTTTAATCTATTACTGAAGTGAATTGCTTCTATGGACTTCCTCAATTATACTACCCTTGCATGCCTAGAAGTAGCCCAACTTGGAGGTGAAGTATTATCTTTTATACACACAGCTGATTTACTGATGAGTTCAGAATTTCTACAGCTGTATTCATGAGTGAAACAAACTTAAGATTTCCTTTTTTGTAATGTCTTTGTCTGGATTTCTCAAAGTTATGTTGATCTCTCAGAATGAATTGGAGAGTAGTTCTTTCTTTTCCACTGCCTGGAACAATTTATAGAAACTGGAATGACCTAGTGCATGAAAGTTTGGTATAACATTACTATAAAACCATCTGGCTCTGAATTTTTTCTTTTTTCTTTTTTCTTTGGTGGGAAGATTTTTAACCATTGCTTCGATTTACTCAGTAGTTTTAATACAAGTCAAGCTGTTAAGCTTTTTATTTCCTAAGTCAGTTCTATTAAACCACTAAAAAAAAATTTTCCAGTTCACATAAGTTTTCCAAATTGTTGGCAAGTAGTTGCTGATAGTATTTATTATCTTTTTTAAAAAATCAACCTTACTGAAGCATAATTTGTATACATTAAATAAAGTCTCCTTAGCAGTCAATCCCTTATGCTCACCTTTGGTCCAAGGCAACCAGTGAATTTCTCTCACTAGTTTTATTCTTGAATTTTACATGAATCAAACTGTGTAGTTTGCTCACTTTTGTGTATGGCTGCTTTTACTCAGTACAGTATTTAAGAGTATTCTAAATTCTTGTGTGCATCAGCAGTTCATTCCTTTTCATGAAGAGTAGTATTCCGTTATATAAATAGACCACAACTTATTTATCCATCTAAATTGCCAGCCATTTCGGTTGTTTCCAGTATTCAGCTACTGCAAAATTGCTATGACCATGCATGTGCAAGACTTTTGGTAGATACATGGTTTCATTTCTCCTGAGTAAATACCTGAGAGTGGAATTAACTGCTGGATCATATGTTAAATGCTGGGTCATAAAAGCATGTTTAAATGCATAAGAAATCACCATATTATTTTCCAAAGTGGTTATGCCATCTTACACCTCCTGCAGCAGTGTATGAGAGTGTTAGTAGGTTCAGTCCTCACTGGCACTTGGTGTTGTCCATCTCTTTAATTTTAATTCCAGTAGGTATGTAATGGCAGGACACGGTGTTCCTAATTTGCATTTCTCCAATGTAGCCATGGGGAGTATCATTTCGTGTGCTTATTGATCATTTGCAACTCAGATCTTAGGGGTTGCTGATGCCTGTGCCGCTGAAAATCCATGTGTAACTTTGACTCCCCCAAAACTTAACTACTAATAATCTACTACTGACCAGAAGCCTTATCAATATCAGAAACAATTAACACATATTTTGTATGTTTTACCTATTATATACTGTATTTCTGCAATCTAGTGAGCTAGAGAAAAGAAAATGTTATTAACCAAATCATAAGGAAGAGAAAATACATTTATAGTATGGTATTTTTTTTCTTTTTAAAGTTTTTATTTAAATTACAGTTAGTTAACATACAGTGTAATATTAGTTTCCAGGGTAGAATTTAGTGATTCATCAGTTATATACAACACCCAGTGCTCATCATTACCAGTACCCTCCTTAATACCCATCACCAATTTAACCCATCCCCCTGACCACCTCTCCTCCAGCAACCCTCAGTTTGTTCTCTATAGTTAAGAATCTGTTTTCAGGGGGCGCCTGGGTGGCTTAGTCGGTTAAGCGTCCGACTTTCACTTAGGTCATGATCTCGCGGTTCGTGGGTTCGAGCCCCGCGTCGGGCTCTGTGCTGACTGCCAGCTCAGAGCCTGGAGCCTGTTTCAGTCTGTGACTCCCTCTCTCTCTGACCCTCCCCTGCTCACGCTGTCTCTCTCTGTCTCCTAGAAATAAATAAAACATTTAAAAAAAAAAAAAAAAAGAATCTGTTTTCAGGTTTGCCTCTCTTTTTTATTTCCCCTATTTCGTCTGTTGTTTCTTAAATTCCACATGAGTAAAATCATATGATATTTATCTTTCTTTGACTTATTTCATGACTGAGCTGAAGTTGGACACTTAACTGAGCCACCCAGGCACCCCATTAAAAAAATTTTAATGTTAATTCATTTTTGAGAGACAGAGACAGAGCGTGAGTGGAGGAGGAGCAGAGAGAGAGAGGGAGACACAGAATCTGAAGCAGGCTCCAGGCTCTGAGCTGTCAGCACAGAGCCCGATGCAGGGCTTGAACTCATGAACCATGAGATCATGACCTGAGCTAAAGTCAGACACTTAACTGACTGAACCCCCAGGAGCCCCTATTTTTAATTTTTCGAGGAATCTTCATACTGTTTTCCAGAGTGGCTGCACCAGTTTACATTCCATCCAAGAGTGTAAGGAGGGTTCCCCTTTATCCACATCCTCACCAATACCTGTTGTTTTCTCTGGTCGTTAATTTTAGCCATTCTGACAGGTGTGAGGTGATATCTCATTGTAGTTTTGATTTGTTTTTCCCTGATGATGAGTGATGTTGAGCATCTTTTCATGTGTCTGTTAGCCATCTGCACGTCTTCTTTGGAAAAATGTCTATTCAGACCCTCTGTCCAATTTTTAACTGGATTATTTGTTGTCGGGGTGTTGAGTTTGGTAAGTTCTTTATATATTTTGGATACTAACCCTTTATCAGATGTCATTTGCAAACATCTTCTCCTATTCTGAAGGCTGCCTTTTAGTTTTGTTGATTGTTTCCTTCGCTGTGCAGTTTTATCTTGAAGAAGTCCCAATCAAGTTAATTTTTGCTTTTGTTTCCCTTGCCTCTCTGGTGATGTGTCTAGGAAGAAGTTGCTCCAGCCAAGGTCAAAGAAGTTTTCCTCTAGGATTTTGATGGTTTCCTGTCACGTTTAGGTCTTTCATCCATTTGGGGCTTACTTTTGTGTACGGTGTAAGAAAGTGGTCCAGTTTCATTCTTCTGCATGTAGCTGTGCAGTTTTCCCAGCACCACTTGTTGAAGAGATCATCTTTTCTCCTCTGGATATTCTTTCCTGCTTTGTCAAAGGTTAGTTGACCATACAGTTGTGGATCATTTCTGGGGTTTCTACTCTGTTCCACTGATCAATGTGTCTGTTTTTATGTCAGGACCACAGTACACTGCCTTGATGGCTACAGCTTTGTAATGTAGCTTGAAGTGATGCCTCCAGCTTTGCTTTTCTTTATCAAGACTGCCTTGGCTATGTGGTTCCACACCAATTTCAGGATGGTTTGTTCTAGCTCTGTGTGGAAAATGGTGGTGGTATTTTGATAAGGACTGCACTAAATGTGTAGGTTGCTTTCGGTAGTATAGATATTTTAACAGTATTTGTTCTTCTGATCCGTGAGCATGGAATGTTTCTCCATTTTTTTGTGTGTCATCTGTACTTTCTTTCATCAGTGTTTTATAAGTTTTCAGAGTACAGGTCTTTTGCCTCTTTAGTTAGATTTATTCCTAGGTATCTTAGGTTTTTGATGCAACTGTAAACGGGATCAGTTCCTTGATCATTTCTCTTTCTGCTGCTTCATTATTGGTATACAGAAATGCAACAGATTTCTTTTCATTGATTTTGTATCCTTTGATTGTAATGAACTCATGTACCAGTTCTAGCAATTTTGTGGTGATGTCTTTTGGGTTTTCCATATAGAACATCATATCATCTGTCAATAGTGAAAGTTTGACTTCTTGTCGATGTGGATGCTAAATTACTTTTGTTGTCTGACTGCTGAGGCTAGGACTTCCAGTACCATGTTAAATAACAATGGTAAGAGTAGACATCCTTGTTTCTGACCTTAGGGAAAAAGCTTCCAGGTTTTCCTCACTGAGGATGATATTAGCCGTGGCTTTTTCTTATATGGCCTTTATTATGTTTCCTCTAAACCTACTTTGTTGAGTCTTTATCATGCATGGATATTGCACTTTGTCAAATGCTTTTCTGCATCTTTTGAGAGGATCAAATGGTTCTTACCCTTACTTTTATTAATGTGGTGTATCACATTGACTGATTTGCGAATTTTGAACCATCCTTGCAACTCAGGAATAAATCCCACTTAATCATGATGAATGATTCTTTTAATGTACTGTTGGATTCGATTTGCTAGTATTCTGTTGAGAATTTTTGCATCCATGTTCATCAGGGATATTGGCCTATAGTTCTCTTCTTTAGTGATGCGTTTGTCTGTTTGTGAAATT